AGTTAAAGTTACATATATATATGGAGGATTTGTTTTAGAGCCAAGGTGTCTGGAGCACCAAGGTCTAACAGTTGTTTCTGAGTGTGTGTGCTGGAGAGAGAATACTGGTGTGTGAGTGGCTGTGATCATGGGTGTTAGGGAAGAGGCCAAAGTTGGAGAGGCCAGGAGAGTTGAGGCAGTCTGGCTGGATGTTCCTGGAAGAAGCAGCTGCAAGGAAGGGTCTGAAGAAGGACAGGTTCAGAGGCAACTGGTTGGGACAGTCAGGTCCCAGCAGACAGGAAGGGCCCTGCAGTTTGGGTAAAAGGTAAGAGCCCTGGAGCTTGTGACTCAGCAGTAAGTAACCCAGGCTCCCTCCGCCTCCCTGGAAAAGGGCTGTCTCCGACCTTGGCCCCAGGGAGGGAGGGGCAACCCTACTCTGTCCGCTGAGGGTGCCTTGCTAGCCTGCCCACCACTCAGACCGGGCTGTGCTGGTTCCAGGCCTGAGAAAGAGCTCCCTTCCCTGGGGACCAGCCAAGAATCATGATATTCATAGGTACTCCAGCCATGTCATCCTCGTTGTTCACCCAGTTAGAAAAGCAATTTTCATTTTATTAAAATAGGCAACATATATATCACTTACTATATGCCAGGCAGAATTCTAAACATGTCACAAACATTAACTTCACAAACATTAACTTTTTTTTTTGAGATGGAGTCTCGCTCTGTCACCTGGCTGAAGTGCAGTGGTGTAATCTCAGCTCGCTGCAATCTCTGTCTCCTGGGTTCAAGCCATTCTCCTGCCTCGGCCTCCCAAGTGTCTGGGATTATAGGTGTATGCCACAACACCCAGCTAATTTTTGTATTTTTAGTAGAGACGGGGTTTCACCATGTTGGCCAGGCTGGTTTCAAACTACTGGCCTCAGGTGATCTGCCCACCTCAGCCTCCCAAAGTGCTGGGATTACAGATGTGAGGCACTGCGCCTGGCCAACATGAACTCTTAATCCTTACGACAACTCCATGAGGTGTAATCCCCATCGTTCTAGTCTATTCGGCTGCTCTCACAAAATACCAAAGACCAACTGGCTTATAAACAAACAAAAATTTATTTCTCACAGCTCTAGAGACTGGGAAGTTCAAGTTCAGGGTGCTGGCGTGTTCTGTCTGGCGAGGGCCTGCTTCCTGGTTCATAGACGGCCGTGTTACCACTGTAAGAGTGACCAAGGCTGGGAATCTCTCTGGGGTCTTCTTTATACTTATCCCATTCACGAGGGCTCTGCTTCCATGAAAAGATTATTCCCAACAGCCCCATCACCTTGAAGATTAGGATTTCGACATACAAATTTTGATAGGACAGAAACATTCTGTCCATTGCACCAATTTTACATTTTTGAGGAAACTGAGGCCCATGGAATTGAAGTGACTTGCCTAAGGCCATGCAGTGAAGAAGTAGAGGAGCCTGGATCCCGGCTCCAGCGTCCGTGTGTTTAACCACCGTGCTTCGTGTCTTCCACTAACAACTCCCACTTTACAGATGGGGGACAGGGGAAGGGATTGGCTCAGACCAGCAGGGAGGACAGACCACCTGAGGAAACCAGGGCCTGTCATCCCAGCCTTGGCTTTTGTCTTGGTCCCCTGCAAGCCCACATGATGGCTGGAGAGAGGCTGAGTCCTGTCAACTCCTTGGCATCCACTATCTACTGGGGTCCTGTGGGTCCGCTGAGGAAGAATGACTAAGACTGTAGCTCAGATGCCATTTGACCCAAGACAAAAGCCATTTATTCCCCTCGGTAGCTCCCCACCCCTTTTACTGTTTTTCTTTTCTTTTTCTTTTTTTTCTGATTACTAAAGGCATGCGATCTCTGTAGAAATGTTTGGGAAGTTAGGGCAGATAAACAGAAAACCAAAAAACAGAGGAGAAAAGAAAAATCCCCTTACAAGCCCCTCTTGAATACTGAGCTACTTTCAGGGCTTCTTTTATTTCCTTTTCTTTTTTTTTTTTTTTGAGACAGTGTTGCTCTTGTTGACCATGCTAGAGTGTAATGGGGCAATCTCAGTTCACGGCAAACTCTGCCTCCTGGGTTCAAGCTATTTTCCTGCCTCAACCTCCCGAGTAGTTGGGATAACAGGCATGTGCCACCACACCCAGCTAATTTTGTATTTTTAGTAGAGACAGGGTTTCACCATGTTGGCCAGGCTGGTCTTGAACTCCTGACCTCAGGTGATCTGCCCGCCTCAGCCTCCCAAAGTGCTGGGATTACAGGAGTGAGCCACCAAGCCCAGCCCTACTTTTTTTGCCTCCTTCTTGTTATAAGCATCCAAGGTTGGAGGCAGGAAACCTGGCATCTGTTCCTGGCTTGCTGTGTAACCTTGGGCAAGTCCCTGTCCATCTCTCGGCCATAGGCTCCTCATCTGTGAAATGAGGGTTTGGCCACAGTGACCTCAGAGGAGGCCACTCGCAGCTCTGACCTTCTGTTTCTGCTTCTGTTTCTGGGACTGGCAGAAGGGGCACTAGCAGGCTGCCCCTCTGCAGGGGACACATGGCTGACAGCTCCCAGCAAGCCATCGCTGGGAAAACGCAAAGGCCGGTAAACAGTTTTCGTTGTACATGCAGCGTTTCTAGGCCTTCCTGCTTATCAGGCCCATATGGTGCCCCCTGCCAGCCGGACACTACCAGCTGCCCTTGGCCAGCCTGCCCTGGGTGATTGCTTTTCCTCCCCGCTCCAGAATGCTCTCTCTACTGTTCCAGAATCTAGCTGGCTCAGGACAAGTGAGCTGGGGAACTCAGCCTGTGGACCCACTTACCTATTGCCACAGCCCTTTCGCAGAAGGAAGCCCGGTTTGGTGAAAAGCTGGAGAAAGGAGAAGGGGAGGAAAGGAGAGAGGGAGGACAGGAACACTGACTGCGTTCCAACTGCATTTGGACCCCTTACTAGGCATTTGGGATTCAGAAATGAATCAGAAAAACATCCTGTCTTTGGAGGGTACAAAGTCTAATGGAGATGAGAAGAGTAGAAACAGGCAGCAGCAATGCTTGCAATGCTGAAAGTTCAGGACTGTGGGAGCCCACAAAGAGAAACTTAATCCATGGATGGTAGTCAGGGAAGGCTTCCTGGAGGAGGCAACTTTGAAGGTAGGTTCTCTCTCAAGAACAGGATTCAGCCACTCCACCTCTGATTATTTAATCCTTATGGACAGCTCTGTGAAATAGGTATAGTTGCCTTTTCTACAGATGAAGCTCAAAAGGGGAGTTCACAACCACCAAAAGGACAGGTAGGTTCTGTCCTGGCATTGTACTCTACCCCATGGCCTGTGGGCCTGAGTCTGATCCCAATCTCTGGCTCTTAGAGACAGAGTGAATGCCCAGTGAATGCTTCCCTCCCTGGCCTAGGGCTCTCAACCGTAAAGTGGGTGCCCCTAAGCAGTGTTGCTGGGGAAGCGAAGGACAGACTAGGATAGACTGGCTGACAAAGTACTTGGTTTATCAACAGGGGAATGTCAGGGAGGCCGCCTTATCCAGCTGGGGACAGCATAGGGCTGTCTTTCTCAGAACGGCTGACTTCTGAGCCAGGAGTAATTACAGAGGCTAAAGTTGGCCTCTCCTGAGGCATCTGCTTCTGAAAAAAGCCAGGCTGGAGCTTGGATAGGTGTGTCCTCCCTCTGGCTCCTTATGGCACAGTTTGAAAGGAAGGCTCGACATCCTAGAGAGTCAGATCAAATCCTCCCAATCCTGGAGTTAGAACATCTGTGCCTGAGCAATTCTGGGTTTCAGACTGCGCTCCAAATGCTCCTATGGAGCAGCGTGGTGGTGTCTGGGTGAAGGTCAGGCAGCTTCTCGGCCCGGTCAGGTTGGAAGGATCACTAGAGATGGCATTGACTCTCATTCAGATAAAGAAGACTCCCAGAGGGAAGGACCTGCCTGAGGTCATACGGCAAGTCAATGTTAGGGGCACATTCCAGATCATACCATCTCTGAGGCTACCTGGGAGGTGGGGTGGGCATGGGGTGACCCAGAATGCCCAGGCGGTGCCAGGGAGTAGCCTGGAAGCTATGTGGATGAGTAAAGTGCCTGGCTAGACTTGCCAAGGGCAAACTTTTATATACCTATCCTGTGCCTAACAAGGTCTACACTGCAAGGTTGTCCAACCTGTGGCACACCGGCCACATGAGGCCCAGGATGGCTTTGAATGGGGCCCAACACAAATTTGTAAACGTTCTGAAAGCATTATGAAATTTTTGAGTCTGGGTGTGGTGGCTCACAGCCATCCCAGCACTTTGGGAGGCCAAAGCATGCGGATCACTTCAGGTCAGAAGTTCGAAACCAGCCTGGCCAACATGGTAAAACTCCGTCTCTACTAATAATACAAAAATTAGCTGGACATGGTGGTGCATGCCTGTAATCCTAGCTACTTGAAAGCCTGAGGCACGAAAATCGCTTGAACCCGGGAAGTGGAGGTTGCAGTGAGTCAAGATCACACCACTGCACTCCCAGCCTGGACGACAGAGTGAAACTCTCTCTCTCTCTCACACACACACACACACACACACACACACCCCACACACACATAGAGACACACCATTAGGTTTTTTTGCGATTTTTTTTTTTAGCTCATTAGCTGTAGTTAATGTATTTTGTGTGTGGCCCAAGACGCGTCTTCTTCCAATGTGGCCTAAGGAAGCCACAAGTTTGGCTATCTCCGGTCTACAGCCTCCACTCTCTTCTAAGTCTCCCACTGCCCTGGACATCGCCCTGCTCTTGTCCCTGAACAAGACCTTTCACCATTGGAGCCCTTAGTCTCCCCATCTGTATAATGGTCACTGGAAACCCTAGGCCGCTGCTCTCCGACCCTCAGGCCCTACGGGGTGGGGGTTGGGGAGAAGGAGGAAAGCGGGGGCGTCTAGGGCTTGCGATTCGCTATCTTCGGGCGGCATCAGAAGCGCTTCGTGCCTGGACCCGGGCGCCAGGACAGGGGCCGCGAGGGGCGGGGCCGCACGGGGGCGGGGCCTGTCCACCGTCGCCCCGCCCCGTCGGACGCCGCGCCGGAGCTCGCGCCGGGAGGGGAGGAGCGCGCAGCTCGCGCGCGGCAGGGCCGGGCGGAAAGTTTTTCCTGACGGAGTTTTGGCGGCGGCGGCGGCGGCGGCGGCGGCGGCCTGAGTGGGTCATGGACGCGCTCAAGTCCGCGGGGCGGGCGCTGATCCGGAGCCCCAGCCTGGCCAAACAGAGCTTGGGGGGCGGCGGCCGGCACCGCAGTGAGTGTGCGCGCGTCCGCCGGGCCGGGCCGGGGTCGGGCAGAGGCGCGCGGGGCCTCAGCTAGCGCCCCGAGTGCGGCCAAGTTGGGCAGAGGCGGGGCCTGACTGGCGCTCGGGTCCCTGCGTGGCCCTTTCCCGGCCCTGCGGGGTAGGGACCGGCCGGGGTCAAGTTGTGCACCTACTCCCCGGCCGCTCCGTGCCGCTGCGAAGAGGGGCAGCGCTGGGGAAGGAGCCTGAGCTCGGCGTCCCCAGGTGCAGCCGGCATGGGGTGGGGTGCAGGTGGGGAGAAGAGGTCCCCGCCACCCGCGGTACCTCCCGCCCCGCTGCCCTGGCCAGCTACGGGGAGGCAGGCGCTCGGCGTCGGTGCCTGGGAGAGGAGGAATGGGCGCAGGGGCTTGTGAAGATGCCCCCGTCCCGCACCCCTGCGCCCCAGCCAGCTGCTGCGGCGGGTGGGAGCCCACTGGCCCGTTCCTCCGCCCCCTGCCCGACCCACCGGGCCAACTTTCGACTCCGGGTGTCCAGACACCCACCCAGGTGTGAGCCCGGAGTCGCAGGTACGTTCTCGAAATTGGGAGCGAGGCCCCACCTGGAGTCTATCTAGAGCCCCACATCAGGCGATCTAGATAGACCCCTACTTCCCTTCCTGTAGCCGAGTCCAGGCTGGCGTCCCGGCTATTTTTGAAACCTGTTTTCTCTCGCACGTTTCCCCTCGGGCTTCTAAAGTCCCTTGGGCGCCCAGGCAAACGGCAGACTCGCGGCCACCTCTCCATGTGGCGTCTGGGAGGCTTGGAGGGGCCTCCCCCGGGCTCCTTTCCCTCCCCCTGTCTCTGGTTATGCTCAGGTAATTTGTCACCTGGCACCTTACCCTGAAGCCTGAAGCCCCAGCCCTGTGCAGGTCTCTCTGGAGGGGGAAGAGAGTGGCTTGCCTAGGGTCACACAGGCCTTCCTGCGGGTTTTGGAGTCAAAGCCCAGGACTGTTGCACACTGCCACCTCCCTGCCACCCACTTTGGGCCACAGCCTCTCCCCTCCCCAGGAAACAACTGACAGTACGGCACTACCTCACCCCATCCCCTCTTGGCCTTATAGGGCTCCAGCAGCTCAAGCTCCTTGGTCCCTGGAGTGCCAGCGTGTCTGGGCCTAGAGGGCCCGCCTTGCTCCTCCTCTGGCCCCACTCTGCTGTTCAGCTGTGGCTGCCTCTTAGCCGAGACTGGCATTGGCATTGGGAATATGGGCTGGTGCCCTCTGGTGGGGGTGGGGTCAGAGACCCATTAGGGCTGGGACACTAGGCCAGGGATATACCGTTTATCAATACTGATTGCCTCCCAGAATAGTGCCTTTAAAAACTGGCAAGGTTTGACTAGGACTTCTGAGAATGGCCATCTGTTCCAGTGTGAGAACCCTGCAGTTTTCTCTAGGAATGAGGGAGGGAGGGAGGGTGGTGGCGCAGCCCCTAGGGAAGTGGTTTTGAAGGAAGTGGGGGCTGGCAAGGGAAGGGAAGCGAGAAACATCTCTGAATCCTAGGATAGGGAAGAGGTAGCCACTTGGGATGGTGGAAGAGAATTTCTCTTGCTTGGGCAAGTCAGTTGTCCTTTCTGATCCTTGGTTTTCTCATCTGCAACATGGGGATAGAAACTCTTACCTGGCAGGAGTGTCAAGGAGATTATTGGTAATAATGCTCCCTCCTAACTGGTGGCTTTCTTCCCCCTGCTTCTCTGTCCTCTGCCTATCCTAGGGATGCTGCCAGCATGATTAGTACTTTGGTGAGACGGGTTTTGGGGGCCCAGAGCCCCCAAAAGGAGGTAAGGAGAGGAGCACCTCTCCTCCTCCTCCAGGCCGCAGAAGCCCATAGTGCTGTCCTGGAGCCTCTGGACCTAGAAGGAGGGCTGTCCGAGCCTCACCTGTCCGTAGTACCTGTCTCCAACTATTTGTGGGGATTAAATGCAATTGCGTTTGCCTAGCATAGAGAAAGAGTTCGATAAATGGTAACTATTACCTTTGTCACTGTTTTACACTGTGTTTTTGCTTCCATTCTCTCACTCCTGTGAGGTGTCAGAGCAGGCCCATTTTTAGAGGCAAAGGAACAGAGACTCAGGGCAGTGGAATCATTGGCCCCAGACACAGGCATCTAAGAGGCAGAGCTCCAGATTCCCCCAGCTCAGGGGTCTTACCCGTGTGCCTGGTGGACTCTGCCCTGGGAGGAGCTGGGAGCAGGCTCCACCCACCCCAGGTTGGGCTAGCAGCCCCTGACGGCAGTGGCCACAGGTTGGGGGGGGGGCGTGGGGGATGTTGGGGTGGGAGTGCTAGGGCCACCTTGCTCAGGGTTGTGACCCAGCTGGGCCTTGGACCTGGTCCTGCGGTCGAGTTTTCAGGCCAAACTGAAGCCAGTGAGGTTAAGGTTAGGCTGACCCTTGCTGTCCACTGTGAGCTTCTTCCCCTCAGGTCCTCACTAGGATTAGCATAAGCATTGCTTATTTGTGGAGAAACAAGCCCAGAGAAGGGCAGCGCCTTGCTTGAGGTCACACAGCAAAGCCGGTGCCCCAGGCTTCTTTCCACTCAGCCTCATGCCTGCAGTGGATTCCTGGCTGTCCTGACCTTGAAAGGGCTCTTTTCCTCTCCCACACAGCTTTTCCCATCCCCTCGGGAGCCATCAATGTTCAATCTCAGTCCCTGGCCAGGCATTTTCCTTCCAGCTGCCTGGAAGAGTGGCTCACCTTGGCCCACCCTTTCCAGAGGTACTGGGATCATTCAGGCCCTCTGGCTCCTTTGTGGGTGGTGCTTATCCAAAGAGAAGGGGTGAAGAAATAGAAGGTGCAGGTTTCAGTAAAGCTAGTTCATGGTGGAAGGCAAGGGAGGGAGGATCATGTTTATTTATAATAAAAGATATTACAAATGAATGTGGCCCAACACAAATTCATAAAATGATGAGGTTTTTTTGCTGTTTTGTTTTTAAGCCCATCAGCTATCGTTAGTATATTTTATGTGTGGCCCAAGATGATTCTTCCAGTGTGGCCCAGGGAAGCTAAAAGATTGGACACCCAGCTTACAGTCCGGTGCACCACGACAAGGGGGTGTGGATTAGTGGTGTGGTTTCGGACACTGGTAGCAGGACAAACATAAAGCAGGGTGAGGAAGTGATGGGACAGCTTTGTTAGGCAGGATGGTGTCTTCATTTGGATACTTTGAGAGACAGGGATTGGAGTGCAAGTCATTTATTTGGGAAGAGATGGCAGGAAATAATTGTTAGGACAAGTGAGAAGGGAGGGGAGTCACAAAGTGAACATTATCTAAAGCAAATTACCGGCGGGGTGAGGTGGCTGGTAATCCCAGCACTTTGGGAGGCTGAGGCGGACGGATCACCTGAGGTCAGGAGTTGGAGATCAGCCTAGCCAACATGGTGAAACCCCATCTCTACTAAAAATGCAAAAATTAGCCTGGCAGGGTGGCACAGGCCTGTAATCCCAGCTGCTCAGGAGACTGAGGCAGGAGAAACACTTGAACTTGGGAGGTGGTGATTGCAGTGAGCCAGGATTGCGCCACTGCACACCAACCTGAGTGACAGAGTGAGACTTAATCTCAAATAAATAAATAAATAAATAAATCAAGCAAGCAAGCAAGCAAGCAAGCAAGCAAGCAAATTACCACAGGGACTCCTGGAGCCTAACCCCATGCTGGGAACTGTGGGAGGCAGTGGAGAACATGCTCTTCAGAGGTGTTCCACCTGAGGGGCAGTTCCCAGCAGCCCAATGGGGAGGACTGCTAGGGATAGGAGGCCTTCATTCCCCAGTCTGTGCCAGCCTCAGCATCTCCAGCAGGCAGAGTGGCAGGTGCTGGCAGTCTGGTGACAACATGGAAATGGTGTACAGAGGGGATAAGGGTGGCCACTGACAGCACCAGGGAAGGCCTCTCTGAGAAGTTGACTTGATACACACCTGTGAATCCCAGGAGGGAGGAATCTGGGAAGAGCATTCCAGCCAACATTCCCGAACAGCAGGTGCAGGGAATGTTGAACTAGAGCCTGAGAGTGCTTCTTACTTGTCTGGGTGCTGTGTGAGGGGCATGTGGCTTGAAGGAGTCACAGGTCACCCACTGCTCACTGAGGGTCAGATACTCTTTGAGTAGCCCTGCAGGGCTCTGCCTGACCCCACCCAGGGGCTTGGGCTGCAGGAGGCAGGTGTGTACCGGAGTCCCAATGCTGTCAGTCATGAGCTATGGTCCAACTCTGAGCTTCTTTAGCTGTGAAATGGGCACACTGATCTATCCTTGACTCTTCTCTCAATATGAGAATGGCCATGTTAAAGCTCTTTGGACTTGACCATTGGTAATGACAGTAGCTCACACTTGTGATACTTGGTATGTACCAGACAGGGTTCTAAGCTCACCTTGGGTGTGAACTCACTTCGTCCTCAAGACAACCCCGTGGGGTGAATACTATTGTTTTGTTTTGTTTTTTTTTTAGATGGAGTCTCCCTCTGTCACCAAGGCTGGAGGGCAGTGGTTCGATCTTGGCTCACTGCAACCTCTGCCTCCCCTGTTCAAGTGATTCTCCTGCCTCACGCTCCCAAGTAGCTGAGATTACAGGTGCCTGCCACTGCACGCAACTGATTTTTTAATATTTTTAGTAGAAACAGGGTTTCACCGTGTTGGCCAGGCTGGTTTTGAACTCCTGACTTCAAGTGATCCACCCGCTTTGGCCTCCCAAAGTGCTTGGATTACAGATGTGAGCCACTGTGCCCAGCCAAGGAGGATACTCTTATTGTCCCTGTTATTTATTTATTTATTTGAGACAGGGTCTCACTCTGTTGCTCAGGCTGGAATAATACAGTGACATGATTATAGCTCACTGCAGCCTTGACCTCCTGGGCTCAAGGGATCCTCCTGGGTAGCTAGGACTACGGGTGCACACTGCTACACCCAGCTATTTATTATTTGTAAAGATGAAGTCTTACCATGTTGTCCAGGCTTGTCTAGAGCTCAGGCCTCAAACAATCCTTCCTCCTCA